TTTCTTTTTTTTTTTTTTTCCCCTTTTCTCTTTTTTAATATTTATTCAAACTTCCCTGTTTTGCAGCTTTGCCTTTATTGAGTATTATTACCAAGGCAAGCGACATTGTTATAGCACCAGAACTATATGAAGCTGAGTTTAATCCACAAAGCTGATTGGTAAAAGTCCAGCCCTCACCTATATTTGTTTGGTCAGAAGCAGCATAGGCAAAAATTTCCTCTCCCCTCTCCTTCCGGACAGTACATGGCACAAAGCTGTTTGCTTCATTGCTGTGAAGTTCCCCCCCCTCCCTTTCACTTTTAGTAATGATGATTATTTTTAACATCTTCAGTATCTTAGGCATGAGAGCTTACAGCAACTAAACAGAAGAAAACAAAGGAACAGTGCAGTTCTCATCATCGTCAAAAGAAAAAGAATACAAAGGTTGCTTGGGTTGCCTGCACCCAGGTTCAAGACTGACTCCAAGTGTCTTATTGTTCTTGCAGCTCTAATACTGAGATCCCAGCCCAGCCCAGGACCGTGTTCTTTTCGTGAGTCTGTGATCAGGGCTCTTGCCAAGTGGGAGAGCAATAATGGAAACAACCTATTTCTGTCTGAGGAAGATCACAACGTCGACTCCAGAGACGAATCGAGGATGTCATCATGATGGCTGTTGCTGTTCGAGTCACTGTCGTAACTCTGGGGACTTGAGTAGTTGGCTGCTTCTTGCAGTCTCATGAGCATGTTCATCTGCAAAGGCACAGGAGCTCACGGTTATTTGTATTCTGAGGCAGAAAGTATATCAACTCCATATGAAAGCTACAGTGGCAGTAGCTTTCCCAATGGGTAACAAGAGAAAGGAAGAAACAGCCAGGGTAATTAATACTGAGTGTCTGAAAAGGGATATTAACTGTAGAACATGTTATAGCAACATGCAAGTTAATCATGAAAAGTATGCTTCTCCAGTAAAGGTGAAAATGAGAAGATTGAAGGGATTACTCCACAGCTATACTTGACAAAATTCTGCAAGCATCCTACCCCTCTCCTCCTCTGACCCTTGGAAATACCGACACATCAGTCAAAAGAGGGAAACCCAAATGTCCTAGTATCTACCTTGATATTTGCATATATATACGAGCTAGTGAAAAGTGTAACACATGTTCTATACGCCCAACTGTCCAGAAAAATGTACACCTCAAGAGAACAGCTTCAGGGCATTCATCGTTTGCGCAGCAGTTTCAGTAACTTTCCCATTGGAAGAAAATGTGTGTTTAGTGTTACCTTCGAGTTCATTTTATACATTCTATAGAAACACAGGTTAATAGTTCCCTATCTGCTTGCATGTCATTTCTCATTTATAAACCAGGCACCACTCATGGAGACTATTAGTTCATATATTCTTCAAAAACCTCAATTTTCATTTGGTGTCAAGAATACAGCTCTAAAAACCAGGTGAAGTAAAGCAACAAGCCTATTTTTTGATGGTGGCAGAACAGGCTAAATGAAATAGTTCCATTGTGTTATTCAAGTACGTGTAACATGATCACGTATTTAATCTCACAGGGTAGATATTAAGTTTATCACACACATCCCCAGTCACTCATCAAAAAAATGAATCCTCAAAACATCCTCAATGAATGAATCTGCAAAGTTTCTGCCACTGTTTCTTGCCAAACTGCGTGGGCTTCCATGTGAATGCATTCCCTGCGCTGACCTGATGGCTTCCCCAGAAACATTGCCTTCTCATTCTGAAACTTTTCATCACTCCCCAGCTGCCCTTTACCTTGTTATTCCTGTTTCTAATGCCTAGAAAAAGGGAAATGAAGCAGTTCTGCCATTTCAAAAATGACAGCTTACCAAAGGATCTCCTTCAGCATCGCTCACCGGAACCTGTTTGCTGGTGGAGCCTTCCCGTGACATGGAGTACCCGTCGAAGCCCACGTCCTCGGGCCGCAGCTGGAGCAGAGGAGGCCACTCGTGGTGCTGGGGGGTGGCCGCCCAGGGGTAGGTGTCCATTACCCATTTGGCAGGATCCTCCCAAGGTGCTCTCCTCCCATACAACTGGAAAAGGACAGAAACATGTAACACATTCCTATTACTCCACCATTTCATCCAGTGCCTACCTAACCAAAAGGAATGCGCCACGAGCCTTGGATTGCAGAAAACACGTGAACAGAGCAGAACAAAAACAAATGAGATTTCCCCTACTCAATGACATACACAGTTTAGCTATTTTTAATTGACAACTGATTTGGAAGAGGCTGACCACCTCCTTTGAGATGGCAGTGCCCTTCTGTCGGCACCAGACAGGGAGACCTGAAAACAACCTCCCTAAATACAGTTAACTTAAATCAAGTCAATACACAAAAGAGGCCGTCAATATTGACATCCGGACTGCACCACCCGCTGCCTTATCTACATTTGCTGTCGTCGGGAAACCGCCGTCAGTGGAATGCGTTGCAGGAAATGTGAGACCTGTCATCACACAATAATGATGGATGTCATAGCAAAAGGTTTTCAAGTCAGGGGGATTTCAGAGAGAGCGCCAGCAGGATTTGGCTGTGGTCATGTTCCTATCTCAAGTAAGCAAGCTCTACTTCAAAAACTTTTTCTGTTTTGAACAGACTGTGTTATTGAACCCCAACATATTATTCTTGTTATAGTCCATTAAGTTTGCCTTAATTAGATACTAAATTCGTTTTAATGTCACGTGACTTTCAAAAGCAAAAACACAACTTCAAGTGACTTTAAAATCTTAACTTCTGCTTTATACATTTCAGCCTCAACATCCTTCAGCAACTGGAATTTGTCACTGGCATTTCGTCACCTGAATTCAGCGAACTCTCCTTTTCCTGCACAACGCACAGAGGGAGAAGCAAGGTCTAACAAAGCAATTCATCAGTTCTGACGGATCTAAGACTATCTCACTTTCCTCCTCGCTATTTCTTCTTGTTATTTTTGTGGTTTTATTTTTTGCACGCACCCCTTTTGTCACCCTCCCCATTGCCAAACAGGAACAGATAGGGCAACCTTTGAGCTTTTAAGTGCTGTTCTCCACTTTGCCAGAAGTTCCTGGAACATTCCTGCACCACAGAAGCAAACTACTGCTTTCCAGTGCAACCAGGTCCCCAAAATCTTGCATCCAAAGAGCATGAAAAAGACTGACTTCATCTAGCTGTGCGGCTAACAAACCTAAATCTGATCTTCCTGCATGGCAGCAGAGTGTTTCTGCAGTTAGCCATCAGGCCAGCGCTGTCAGAACGGCACTTTGACAGAGTTTCCAAGGCAATATTATGGAATAACAATAGCTTTCATTCTCAATGATGCCATGTAGTTCACAGCCTGGCCCTGTCTTTGAACATTTGGCTGTGTTAACTTACACACCCTGAATTAAGTCCTCGATTCTACTAGAGCTTCTCTGGAATGGTTACAGGAAACTTCAATTTAGGCAAAACATAGATATCAATGCAAGCTTTGTCACAGATGGAGGCCAAATGCCATGCACAAATGACAAAGTACTGAATTCCTCCAAACACCAGCATCGGCTCTGTTCCAAAGCAGCAGCCAGCGAGTCCCAGCCCAGCGCAGGGGTGCCCAGCAGATGGTGCTGGGCAATCCCAATCACGCTGCTTCCACAGCCCCGCTGCTCTTCATCCTGGAGCTGTACTGGGTTATTTTCTCAGCATAATGGCTTCAAGCTGTGGTAAACCTGCCCTCCTATTTTAATCTTGTTCTTGAATTGACAGCAATATATGTCAGTTGCTGAGTGGAGAGGATTTTCTGTTTTTCACATCTTTGCTACCTAGAAGGTTTGTGTGGATCTTAGCTGACTTCTGAAAATGAGCTAATAAGTAAAATTCCCATTTCAGCTTATAAAACCAGCACATATCCTCAGCAGGCAAGAGACTGAATGACTAACTCATTATTCCCTTCCCCAGCAACCAGCTCTGTCCACTCCTTTCACTTGCACATTTTCTAGAGAGCAATTAAGAGGGCAAGGATCGAACAGGTTGTTTCACAAAGCACCGAAGAGAAATGACGGGAGTAGGAGTGACGGTGCCAGGAAGCCGCAGGGACTCTGGGTCCTCTTTTTGCTGGTGCTGCATTCTATATCAATACACCAAGCAGGAAGAACTGGGGTTTTATACAGCCCTCTAATTTTCACATCCCTGTTTTGAAGAACAAAAAACACTCGGCTCCGATGGGAGCAATTATTGTAAGGATCCATTTGGCGCACTTGTCTTTGACCCAAAATAGTTCTCTAAATGAGAAACAGAAATATAAAAATAGTTCATGTTAGATCCACAGAGATCAGAGTGAAATCAGCAGTCCACCCTTCCTTTCTGGCAGGCAATTTGATGAGAGAAGATGAGTTCTTGGAGGAGCCTTTGTGGGTGTGGGGGACAGAAAATAGCCCAAAATGAAACACACAGTTCTAGCATCAGCTTGGTAATTAGCACAATTCTGGCTACTCTTCAAGTAGTGAAGTCTTATTCTTATCCACACACTCAATGAAAGAGAAATTCTGGAGTAAATTGAGAAATTATTTAAATAGAAATGAAATAGTGGAATTTGGGGAAATGGGACTGAAGCAGATACTGAATCATAGAATGGTTTGGGTTGAAAAGA